CTGAGCTGACCAAGACTCTCCCCTCCAGGGCCTCGGCAGCTGCCAGCCCAGGGCCTGGAACACTTTCCTTCCAGATGTGCTCGGGCCGTCCTCACAGGCTTCTCCTGGAAACCCGTGGCTCATCTCCTGCTCCGTCTGCGCCATCTGTTGTCTGTCTTTCCCCCTACAATGCCAGGTCCAGGAGGGCAGGGCTTTCTGTCGGTTTTGTGGAATGCGTCCTGGACTTGAAGGGCTTTCACTGGAAGTGAAGGGCTGACTGCCAGGTCCCCTCCACCGGGACTGGGGTCTCAGGAACTGGCCGAGACCCAGCTCTGCTGAGCAGAGAAGACTTGAGGACTCGAGGGCTGTCAACTGCTGGCCTGTCCATTAAGGCCAAGCCTCACCTCAGAGCTTCCTGCAGTTACCTGCTCCCCAGAGCCTCAGTTTCCTCATCTATGAAATGGGGACTACAGCCCCAACCCATACAGGTGGGTTAGTGACTAAAGGAAAGATGGTTAGGACGCCTGACCAAAAGCAACAGAAACTAAAAGAAATGTAAAGCAAAGGAGAATTTATTATCAGCACATGCAGGCTGCCCACCACCCATGCTGCCACCGCTGCCACCTCCACCCTGCCCTGGTCTCCGCTTCCAAAGACCTTAGCAAGGGGACATCTCTGAGCTTGGACTCCACAGCCTCAGGGACAGCTTCATCCTAATGCCAAGCCCAATTCCTGGGGAAAGACGGTGACCCGCCTACCTCTGCTTGATCCTCTGTGGCCAGGGGCAGAATTGTGGGGCTGTGGGGCCCACACTGCAGATGGAGATGGGATCAGTAAAGGTGTCACTCTGCGCCCGCACAGGGTTGGTGCTCAGTTACCAGGAGCTTCAGCATCATTATTGTTGCTGGGGTGGGGGTGGGGGGACCTGCAAGTGGATGGCTAGGCGGTTCCAGGACAGGAGGCGGCAGCAGTGGAGGCCAGGGGAGGAGTCGTGTCTGTGCGTGGGGGACACAGGGTGTGGGAGGGTCTGTCCAGGACCATCAGCGGCCCTGTCTGTCTGTCCAGGGCCCCTACGCCCTTGGAATAAGGAGGCCTACCCCGCAGGGCTGCCTAGAGGCCTCCTGGCTGCCCTGGCCTTCAGGGTCTCAGAGAGCACTGCTGACTCCACTGGGAGGCTCGGGGTGGCTGTCCAGCGCTGGGTGTGTGATGACCAGGCCTGGCTTTGCCCTCCTCACAGCCCGCAGTTCCTCCAGCGACTGCTCACTCAGCTCCACGGAGGTCACACTACAGCCACATATGAAGGACAGAGGGTGGTTAGTGGGGGCAGGGGTCCAAGGCTGGGGGGTGGCAGTGACGGGAGAGCGGTGGAGGCAGTGATGGGGCTGTTGGCCTGGGCTGTGCCAAAGGTACACAGTGACAGAAGGTGGCCAGCCAGGGACATTGTCAGAGGCTGGGGAAAGGGGACTGGGGGCCAAGCTTTTGGGGGAGCAGATGGATGTTGGCATCATTGACCCAGACTGTGGTCATGGGCACCAGACAACAGATGGACATCTGGTCTGCAGAATGGTCGAGGCCAAGGGCTGGGCCAGGGCTTTGGAGGGTACGTCTCCAGGACTGGGTCACTCAGGAGGGCTCTGGGAGGGAAAGCCCCCAGGTACCCACCCCAACCCGCAGTTCAGCTCCCTTCCCGCCCCTGTCTCTACCAGAGGGTCTGCAGGTGGCATCCTGGGTGCTGCAGGGCCGCACACAGGTAGGTCACCATGGGTCCTGACAGCTGGCAGCCACTGAGATCCAGGGTGGTCAGTGTGCGGCTGTGCCTGAGCATGACCGCCAGGTACTGGAAGGCTTCCTGGAGGCCAGGCTGCTGCACCCTGGGGGAGAGTCGAGAGCTGCCACGGCCTGCCCAGGAGCCGGTGTGGCCTGTCCCCCTCCCCCGCCCCTCCTGGCCTGCAGGGCCTCACCTGAGCTTCTGCACCCGGCACTGGGGCCAAGACAGGCCCTCGCTCAGCACACGCAGGCCCTCCTCACTGAGCCCGTTTTGGAGCAGGCACAGCTCGGTCAGGCTGGGGGCCGCCCTCAGCGCCTCAGAGAGGTCGAGGCAGATGGAGTTGGGCAGTTTGCAGTGCGACAGCCTGTGGTGAGGAAGCACATGGGTCTGTCTGCAGGCGCCTCGGCCACCTTACTGTACCCCAACTGTGCAAGCTGCCCCCTCCCTGGGAGGCCATGATCACATGTGCACCCCACTTCTCTATAAGCTTTGTAACAAGGCCATGCACACCTTCCTCAAGGTGTCTAACTGCGCAGAATGGCCCATCAAGCTGAGGTGGGCGACAGGTCACTCAGTTGTTCAGTTCTTAGCACTCTTACTTGTCTGCCACCCTAAGTAATGCCGCTAGGAGCACTGGTGAGCATCACTTTAGTGGCAGGACCAATGGGCCACTGGTGCTGGTCACCTTTTTGCCTCCTGTGCTTACTCAGGTTGCTGGAAACACCCCCTTAGGCCAAGCAACCTACCACCGAACCTGTCACCATGCCCATCAGTACCAGCTCCTGTGACTGTCCTGACTCTGCCTGTTTGGTGATCGCTGACAGTAGCTGGAAAGTTATCCTGTACTAGGTGTCGCACCTGCGTCCTCATTAACCCTCACATCAACTCTCCAAGGCAGAGTCTACTGGCTCCACTGCACAGGAGAGGGACCTGCCCGAGGACACAGAGGCAAGCAGCCTTCCCAGTGTCCCGACAGACCGTCCGGCAGTTTCCCATAGCACCCAGCAGCCTTCCTTTGGAAGGGAACTACGTCTGATCTTCATTCCCCCCCAGAGGGAGGCACCCCGCTTTCCACTCAAATCGGGGCCAAACCCCTCCTAAGCTATCACCTCAGTCGGTGATGGAGCTCCTGCCCCCATCTCTTCTGCCCGTGTGTGGGCAGAGCCTGTCCACCCCAGCACAGGACACCAGAGCCCACAGGCTCTCGGCCTGCTCCCTCAGCCATCCCCAGACAGGGCCACACCTCTGCCCTGCCCAGGATACCCTGTTCTGCGTCCCTTCCAGGGGAGAGGCTGGGGGCATGGTCACTCACGTCAGGCTCTTCAGACCACAATGCTGATCGGTCATAGCTTCACAGAGTGGACGCAGTGCGGAGGCCTTGGGTTTTCTCATGGTGGCTCGAGAACTGCTAGGAGAGAGAGGAAGGTGAAGTCCCCCAGTCCCTTCCAGCCCCTCCCTCCTATGAAGGACCCCTTCCTATGGTCCTCAGGTGTCCAAGGGGCCTCTGCCTCACCCCATGCTGAGCCAGGACCCCTCTGACCCTTCACTCCAAACCCACAGTGAACCACTCTGTGGTCCATGCACCTCGCCGCTGACACTGCCTATATGAGTTCAGTGAGGGCATGTCCCCCGCACGCTCAATGTGGGTCTGTCCTTGCATCTGTCATGGTGTCCCAGCCCCTGTTAACATCCTGACATTCCTTCCTGCAACAGGTGCCGAGCACCTGGGTTGGTGCTGGGTTGTAGGTCAGTGCACAGAAAAATGACACAAGCCTTGCCCTGAAGCAGCTGATTCTGGTGCAGGGGTCAGCAAACCGCGGCTCGCGAACCACATGCGGCTCTTTGGGTATGTTTTGTCTCAAAAGTTTGCCAACCCCTGGAAGAGCCAATCCTGTCCCTCACAACAATTTAAAAATTATTTGAGAGCCATGAATATATTTGTATATAATCACCATTATGTGAATAATATCCTTTAAAATTTTTGTAAATGAAACTATGATAGTTTTATTTTCATTTTCAATTTTACTTCAGAGCCTGCGGCTCGCGAGCTGCAGTTTGCTGACCCCTGGCGGCTCTTCTGTCTCAAAAGTTTGCCAACCACTGTATCTGGTGGATAAGATAGGCACGGACAGATGTTATGGTGTACAGTGGTCTGTGGGGCACTTCTGGGGCCAAAGGTGGCCCCAGGCCTGCTGGGGGAGTCTGGGCAGGCTTTGAGATCTAGGAGGAGGGAACAGCAGGCAGAAAGGCTCAGGGGCATGGTGTGTTACAGAACTTGTGAGGAAGCATGGGGCGCTGCTGGTCCACAGCTTCCTGGCCATGCTATGGAGTTTGCCTGGGATGTGGATAGTGGGGGGGATTTTGGGGGGTATGATTGGGACACCGGAGGCTGCCTCTAAAGGGGACGGGAAAAGGCCTGACTCTAGTCTGGGGCGCAGCCTCCGCACGCCCAGGTGGTCACGCAGGCGCACTCGTGCGCCACTGAGGGCAGTCCTAGGACTCACGAGCTGCCGCTCAGTCTGCCTTGCAGTCGCTTCACCAAGCTCTTTTTCTTCTTCTTCTCCTGCGCCGTGGCCAATCCGCAGCTGACCAGCCGCAGCGCCTGTCCTTCTGGGCAACACCGCACGCAGTAGCTCAGAACCACCATGTCCATGCGGCTGAAGCGCAAGCGCTCCAGCGCCAGCTCCGGAAGGCCCCGCAGGGCTTGGCGCACGAAGGCGTCCTCCTGCGTCTCGTACAGGCAGTACAGCAGCTCCATTGAGTAATTGAACTCCTCTCCCTCCTCTCCCTCCTCCTCCTCCTCCTCCTCCTCCTCCTCGGGCCCCTCAGCCCCCTCCGGTTCTTCGCGCTTATTGGTCTCCTCGGTCCCCTCCGGCGCCACCCTAGGGCGACCCTGGCCCTGGTCCTGCACCCACTTCAGGACATCCTGCTTCACGCGCTGTGACACCACGCAGCCAAGGCGGCCCTCGATGTCGCGCATGCGCTCCGCGCTCAGCAGGCCGAAGAGGAAGCGCGTAGTGAACGCGAGGTGCCCGCGCAGCTCGGGGTCCCCGCGCAGAAGCTCTCCCACGCCGCCAGCCGGCGCCCCGGTCTGCCCCTCGTCCTCCAGCAGGTAGGACAGAGCGGCGAAGAATTCCTGGAAGCTCTGGTCGATGAACTGGTAGGCAACCTCGGTCGCCAGCACGCCCGGCAGCTCCTTCTTGCTGAGGAACAGCATCTGGACTTTGGAGCCACGAAGCTCCAGTCGTTCCAGATCCTTCTCGGCGAACTGCGACCTGCGCCCGAGAACGCCTTCGCGGGCCAGGCGGCACAGCTTGCGCAGCTCGCCCTGCAGCCGGGGCCCGTCTGTCGTGGGCGCCGAGTTCAGAACGCTGGCGATGAAAAGCAGGTACACGGACGTGGTGGTCTTGGAGGTGCGCGACAGGTCCTGGCCGTGCTCGAGCTGCTGGTTCAGAACGGTGCACACGATCCAGCAGACGAACGGCACGAAGCACAGCGCGAACAGCGTCTCGTTCTCCTTCACGAAGCGGTAGGCGCGTTCCGCCCTCCGCTCGTCCTGGAAGAACTTGTAGAAGTACTTCTTCCTGTCCTTGTCGGAGAAGCCGCGCACGTCGGCGCACTGCGGCGACAGCAGGCGGCCCTGCAGCCGGCTGGGGTCTGCGGCGCGCGTGGTCACCAGCAGGCGGGCCCTGGGCAGCAGCGCCTTGCTCAGCAGGCCGCCCAGCACCCGTGCGCAGCCCGCGGCCTCGAAGGGGTCGGTGCAGGGCGCCGCCTCGGCTGGCCCCGGCGTCGGCGCTTCGTCCGCGCCGTCCAGGATGAAGAACAACCGCTCGGGCTGCGCTAGCATCTGCCGCACGGGCGCGCTGCGGTCCGGGCACTGGTCCAGGATCAGGTCAGCCAGGCTGCACGCGCCCGGCCGCTCCTGCAGCTCTCGGCAAGGCATGAAGAAGGCGAAGTCCACCTGGCCGCTGTACAGCTTGCCCGCCGCCCAGTCGTACATGATTTTCTTGGCCGCCATGGTCTTGCCGATGCCCGCCGGGCCCTGCAGCACCACAGTCAGCGGCCGCTGCCCCTCCTCATCCTGGCTGAACAGGCGGTTGAAGGTGTGGGTGTCCGAGCGCCGAGCGCGCTCTGGCTGCGGCTCCTCCTCCGGGCCCAGGGCCTCGCACTCCAGCGCGGCGCTCTCGGGCGCGATGAGCAGCTTGGTGAAGCGCTTGGTGATCTTCACCGAGCGGGCGTTCCTCTCCTTCACCTTGGCGTGCTGTCGCAGCACGTGCTCCCGGTACTTCTTCTTGTACTCTGCGGGGCGGGGGGAGGGGAGGGGCACGAGGATGCGGCGGGCCGTGTCAGCGACCCTGGGGGCCCGTCGCCCTCCTCGCCCAGCTCGGGCCCCAGTCTCCCCTGCTGCGCCACAGCGCCCCTCCCCTGCCGGCCTTCCACACCCGCGCCTCCCCGGGACCCGCTGTCGGAACCTCCGACGGGCGCGGAGAGCGCTCACGCTCCAAGCCTGGGGCTCACGGCCCCAGAAGGCTCGGGGCCTGCGCCTCCCACCGAGAGACCTACCGGACACGGAGAGCTGCGCCGAGGAGCTGGAGCCGAGCCCTGAAAGGGAGAGCCGACGTGAGGCCACGCCGCAGGCGCGGGAGAGGGGCGCAACAGGAGGCCGGGGACACCCTCAGGAGCCCCTGGGATCTGCGCCCTGGGGCCCAGACGCGACGGAACGGAGGGGCAGGGACCTGGGCGACCTGGGGCCCCGCGCTCACGCTGCAGCCGCTGCTCCTTGAGCCGCTCCGCGACGTCGCGCACGTCCGCCTTCTTCAAGGTCTTTCGGGCCACGTCCAGCGCGGGCTCCGGCCCGTAGAATTGGGTCAGCTGCTCGGCGAGGTCCACGGCGTCCGCGCACTCCAACCGCCCCCATGGGATGCTGCGGCCGTCCAGTGGCGCGTGCCGCAGCTTGTGGCGGAAGCGCTTCAGCTGCTCCTGGCTCAGGTCCTCGAGCGCCGCCAGAAGCAGCTCGCGGGAGGCAGCGGCTCGGGACTCCATACTGGGGGCAGGCGGGCAGGTGAGCGGGGTCAGCACATTTGCCGCGTCCGCAGACCCCGGCTCCGCGTCTCCGTCCCCCTTCCCGGCGTCGGGACACCCACGACGCAACGGGGCCTCCCCAGGTGGCTCCGGAACAACGCTCTGCAGGGAGGGCAGGCCTCCCCTCCCAGGACCGGGGTCCCGGGCTTTGCCCCCGAGCGCGTCGCCGCCTGGTGGTGAAGCGAGGCGCTCCAGGGCGGCTCTGGTCGTCCCTGACCCAAGCGCTTTGGGACGCCTCCATGCCCCGGGCCTTCCTTCCTGCTTTCACACACCTGGCCGGCCAAGTCAAATACCCAGGATGAGGTGTCTACGAGGGCCTGTGCTCCCTCCCTTTCCTGAGAGCCTGGAGCAGAGCTGGCCTCAGCAGGGAGCCAGAGTGACCCCCTGGCCCAGGCTGAGTTCTTAAACCCCCACCTGGGGGCCTTGCACCGGTGCTGAGTTTGAGCTCCTGGTGGGAACAGATCCCACAGGTGCGGTCTGTGCGGATGGACTCCCTGGAACGGGGGAGCCTGGGGGCGATGGGGGAAGGGTGTGGATGAGAGGTGAAGCCCCAGGACTTAGCAGGACAAGGCAGTGGCCCCAGAAGGCCGAAGCCAGCCAGTGCTCAAGTGACCACTCTGAGACCCAGCACTCACCTAGAGCAGGAAGCCTCTGGCTGCGCCATGGGGAACAGCCCTTAGGTCTGCAACTCCTGGGCTGAGGTGGGGGTCAGACAGGTGACCCCTCCACTCACCGACTAGAGCCAAGTCTTAGGGGGTTGTCCAGCCCCATTTATACCCCAGGCCCAGGTGCTGTAGCTCAGCCAGCACTGAGATGTCCATCCGACTGTTCCCAAGCTCTTAAACTCAGGCACTGCAGCACAGGTGCACAATAACCGTTTAAGAGCTGTGCTTGGTGACCTTTGATTTTCTACTTTCCTTTATTCGGTTAACTTTCCCTGAGGATCCATGGGGTGTGGCGGTGAGGTGTGGCAGTGAGCAGGTGGCTGCAGAGCAGGGTGGGCTGCATGGAGGAGGTGGCTGGCTCAGAACTAGGTCTTAAGCTTTAAGGCCTCGAGATAGGTTAGACCCTGAAGGCAGGGTCGAGGAAAGCCTTCTTAGGTAGTGGGAGACTGCGAACAAAGGAGAGGCTGTCACAGTGTTATGGGGGGAGGAAGGCTGTCACCTGGAGGCCAGGAGATGATGGGACAGGGAAGGGTTCTGTGTCTCCCCACAGCTGGCTTGAGGGGGAAGAGGCCTGCCGGGAGGAGTGTGTGTGACTGACGAGGGTGCACATGTGACCACATGACTGTGTGTTCCACTAACAGCGTCTGGCTGTGCGCAGTGTGCGTGCCTGTGTGACCATGCTAATGTTTGCGTGGGTGGTTGGCTAGGTTATGGTCCCCGTGAATGTGCCTCATGTGACAAAAGGGACTGCGGGTGTGATGAAATCCAGGCTCTTGAGATGGGGAATGTGCCGCTGAGCCCGTCATGTCCTCACGAAGGGCAGAGGTGGAGGCAGAGGGAGTGTGGCCCAGAAGGCAGTGTGACAGTGAAGCAAGGTGCCAGGCTGTGGGCTCTGAGGAGGGCAGGTCACGAGGAACCAGCGCTGAAGCTGGAATGCAGCTGGGAAAGGCCAGACAGGGGCTCCCTAGAGCCTCCGAGGGAGTGTGGCGGAGCCAACAGCTGGACCTCAGCCCAGTGAAACTGGTCCTGGACTTCTGACCTCCAGAATACATGTGTATTGTTTCTGGCCATGGCCTCTGTGATAACTTGTTCCATCAGCCACGGGCCACGACCTCAGCCTGTTCCTGAGAGCACCTGTGTGACTGCACTTCTGCAAACATGTCTCTCCAAGCCCCGTTGCTCTGCGGTCATCACTGCCTTTCTGGCCTCATCACCTTCAGGCCACAGGTCATCTGTATGGTCAGTCCTGTTTGCTCAGGAGCCTGAGAGCTGCCCTCGGTGGGGGGAGGGGCGAGGAGCACCTGCAGTCCTGGGAGCCTCTATTGTGCTGCTCCCTCCCCCAGGAGGAAGGGTGCCCATTTCCCCCTATGACTTTTCTTCTATGTAAGACAAATAGACCCCACCTGTCCCTGAGGGGGGCTGAGGCTGTCAAAGGTGAGGTACTGTCCAGTCACACGTCAACCCCTTGGTGGACCCTGTTGACTGGCGAAAAATAACTCTCCAAATAATCCACAAAAGAAAAGGTTTATTGGGGGGGGAGGAAGCAAGACCCCCATTGCAGTGCGGGAAGCACCTCCTACACGGAGCTCCTACCGGCAACCACTTGGAGGCAGAAAGACCCCGGTTTCAAGGTGGCTAATTCCTTTATTATGATCCCTCCCCCAGAAATTACCATAAGGATAAACAGGAAGTCAGGAATGTAGCGTTAACAAGGGCCCAGCCCCACCCATAGTCCTCCCAACTCTATGGTTAAGCATCTTAAGGTGCCAGTTCACTTTATCACCCCCTTGCCCTCCCTTGTGCCCTGAGCTGTTGTGGGTGGGGGTGAGGGGGTGCGCACCAGCCACGTGCCACTAACATACATCCTGCAGGAGAGGGGGGATAAGGACACCGTGTGCTTTTTATTTATTTATTTTTAAAGATTTTTATTGGGGAAGGGGACCAGCCAAGTTGTTGTTCTTCAATCTTCGTTGTGGAGGGCGCCAGTCGCCTTGTGGCTGCCCGTTGGCAGCTCCTGGCCTCTAAGCTCAAGGGGCTGTGTTCAATCTTAGTTGCGGGTGGGTGTAGCCACCATCCCATACAGGAGTCAAACCAGCAGCCTTGTTGTTACACCAGCTGAGCCATCCTGCTACCTGTTGGCAGCTCAGCAACAGCTCAGCTCGGGCACACATCACTGGCCCATGTGGGAATTGAACCGGCGGCCCTGTTGCTCAGAGCTCGCGCTCTTAAGCCAACTCTTAACCAACTGAGCCACTTGGCCGGCCCCCACCATGTGCTTTTTATTTATTTTTCTTTTTAAAGATTTTTATTGGGGAATTGGGGGGATGGGAACAGTGCTGGGGAATTGGGGAAAGGGAACAGACAAGTTGCTGTCCTTTTGTTCTTCAATCTAGTTGTGGAGGACGTTGCTTCACTGGCCCAAGTTGGCACCATCA